ATATGAAAGTATTGGCTCCTGCAAAGGTGTATTGTAATATAAATACATAGAATATTTGTAGTATGTTCATTTTCACTTACACAGAATTAAAATGATGCTTGCACAAGTAATTTTGAGTTCTAGGCTATCATTATGCTTTAAGGTCTGACTTGTAATTGTTGGTCACTTAGGAGTGAAATCCAGGACAGGATCTGAATGTAAGCTCACCTTTGAGTGTATGAAAAGTATAACCAAATCAGGTTTTTTTTCTATGCTCTTATATGTCTGATTTGATGCCTTCTCCATAAGCTTTCACAAGCACTAAAATCACATGAGATTTTAATGAAAGTGTTTCTGAGTATCCTGGTTTCCATTCACATAAGTTTAGCCTAGAACACCTGGGCCTCGAGGTTCCAAGAGTGCACTCAGCACATCTTTGTTGTGCCAGCCGGTTTGGCCGTGTGTGTGTGGAGTGCTGGCCCTGCTGCTTTGGTGGGGCAGCAGCTGAGCCCTGCGGGGGTACCCGGGCTGCCGGGCCGCGCTCCGGGGCTCGGCCTTTGTCGCTGCTTTGGCAAAACAAAGGAAGAAAAATTGCGTTTTGTGAGGTGAGTGAAGGTAAATCACACGCTGTCACATGCTCATGCTGCTTTTGCCAGGACATCAGAGGTGTTTCCATGCAGGTGACTTTAATTTAGTCTCCACTTTGCTGCAGCAGCACAGACTCCGCCCGCCGCGGCCGCCGCCCCCAAAGATCCAGCGCTCCTCCAGGCCCGTGAGTAGCTGGGGATTGTTTCACTGCCACAGCTTAACACTGCCTGAGTTACGCTCTTTGTAGCACTACTAAACCCTGGTAGTTTGGATTGTCAAACTCTGCACAGAAGCCGTGTGTGAATTATGCTCCTAAACTGCCTTCTCTCTGCTGCGGCACAGCCCTGGGACCCGCGGTTGTTCTGCTTTTCTCTGGCGAGCCCTGCAGCTCTCGGGCAGCTCTGCAGGTAACTGGGGCTGCTCTGGCCACGTCTGGTTTGACTTTTGCAGTGATTTCTTACATACAAAGCCCTGCTAGGCTGGCTGGCAGAAGTTTTTAGCCAGTGAGCTTTTGAAGACTTGCACTGAACTCAAATCTGAAAGGAAGCAGAAGTCTGAAGAGAAAAATATTTATTCTCCACGAGTTATGCTTTTAATTAATTTGGGACGCCTAATACTTCTCCATGTGTGAATAGACTTGAAGAAAGCGAAGTCACTCTTTGGCAGTAGAACATTGGTACCATGTTAGGGATGACATGCACTGGGTAATTCCATGGTGTAAAAGAAGGCACAGCAGGTTGGCCAGAGGAGGGGACTCTTCCATGGAAGAGCTGCACAGAAATGACTGGCAGTGCAGTGCCTGTACATGTTAGGTAGGGATACCTTATCTCAGCAGTTTTCCCCCAAAAACACCGTCTCTAGGACAGTTTTTACCTATGGACTGTGCAGGATGGCATTAAAACTGGACACCCTGCTGGGTCTGCACCAGATGTTTATTTTTTTTTAAGGCACAGACAAGAAGTATCAGTTTAGGAGGGGTATTGGTTTTTGGCACAGAATTGGAAGATACTTAGGTGTACTCAGAACTTCAGCTTTATGAATATAGTTCCCCCCCAAATCATCTTCTTGCTTCCTTAGCCATACACATACATGCATAAGAAAGAGAGAGATGCAAGTTTTCAAATCTGATCTTGCTAAAACTTGTTAAAATGTGTTTTGGATGGGCAGGTAACTGGTTAACAAGTGCAACTGGGTGTGTTTTAACTTTTGATCTCTGGTGCATGCTCCTGTGTGACATTTCAGTGGCATGTGTTTCCTCTCCTCCCTCTTTTTAACTCTGGGTGTCTAGCTTAACAGAGCCATTTTTATGGACTTTTCACCTGAAGATTTCTGTTCTCTGTGTTTAAAACATAGCATTGACTATGATTATGTGTGTTCTCTTAAATACAATGGGCATGGGAGACCCTCCCAGATGTGTTTCACAAGGATCAGACTTTCTGTGTACTGTGGGGTTCCTGTAGTGCTCCCATGCCCTTGTGTTCCGTTTGGCAGGTGTAAGGGGGCATGTTGTGATTCCTCTATAGCAAAGTTGCTGAACTGTATTGTTCAAATGGAGTCATTTATTATGTGGAAGTCTTGTTAAGACTGTTTAATCTCCCAGCTGTAGGGTATTAATAGTCCTCACTGTAACATGGTTGGTTCAACTGTCTTTGCTCCCAATGTGATTGATAAAAGGTTGGAAATGTAATAATGAAAGCTCCTGTTGCATTTCTCTGGCTGTGTCAGTAAGTGGAACAGAAAGGCTTCATTCATCAAGGGGAAATTCAAGATAAATGTAAATTATTATAATCAATCCCAAAAATATGCTTGTATCAAATATACATAAATTTGTTGTTGTTCAGAACTGTTATTTGGCTTTTAGTATTTGCAACACATTTCTGTATGTGTAAATAATACTTTTTGCAGGCTGCTTTTTCCCTCTCAAGCTTGGCAGCTCCTACAGAGGTGGGTATCAGCAAGTGATTTATCCTGGCCTTGTACACAAGCACTGAAGGGGGAGACCAGGTCCCTCTGCTCTTCCAGCCAGGGCCACATAATACCAGAATTCCTGAGAGATACTTGGTGCTGCAAGGAGGAGTACATGGGCACTAGTGCTTGCAATATGAGTAATTGCTGATAATAAAGCCAAAAACACAGACCAAAGAAAGGTTAAGGAAGCAGAACAGAGATGTTCTTTGCATTCTGCTGCTTTGGAAATAAGTGGTGGTGGTATTATGAAAGAGAGAGGGTTATTGCTTCTAATTAATGGAGGTCTGTTTGGATTAATAGTGGTTGTTTGGAAACTTTATTCAATTAGAAAAAAGTTAAAATATAATAATTATGCATTAAGCTGATGGGGACAGTAATAAGCACATTCAGCCCTTCTGTCCTGGAAGTTTACCTTTTCTCTTTTGGCTGTGCGCTCACGTAATTGGATTTCTTCAATACTTTTGCATTTGATAAGCATTTAACCTTGCCTCTGTGGCTCTGAGACTCAAAATCCAGCAAGGAATTGACTTGATTCCTGGCTTTTCCCTGCAGTTCCCTGGGAACAATGCTCTAAATCCCACTCAGCTTTGTCACCTTGCACAGCACTGGGCTGGGGGCCCCTGGAGCCACCCCAAACTCTCACCTCTCTCCCTCCTCGGCAGCACACCACCGAAAGGTGAAAGTGTTCCCAGCACGCTGACAGGCCAGCTTTACACATCAGCTCCCAGCTCCCATTTAATTAAGCAGCTTGCTTTCTTCCTCTCTTTCCCTCTCTCCTTCGTGCTCTCCTCTCCCCGTTCCTCCTGCCTGTCTCCCCCCTCTCCTGCACTCCTCTCTGCAGTCTCTCCCTGTTCTATCAGCCTTAATGAAGCAGTATTCTTCATCGATCCTGCTGATTGCCAGCCCATTCCTTTTGTTTGTTGGCACCGAGCCATTCTGCTGTGCTCTGACAGCTCAGCTCCTCTAATTAGCTCTGTTGTTCTTTTCCCCATGTTTCACCACGTTGCAAGTTCAGTTGAAGTTGCCACAAACTTAATCCTTCCATTCCTGCCATAAATTCACATTCTTAAGCTGTCTTTATTGTAGAGAGGAGCAGCCTTGTGTGGGGACTGATCTCCAAGACCTTAACATCTGACCTTTTCATAAGCCCTTTTTCCTAAGAAATAGTGGCAATACAACTCTGGATTTCTTCATCATATCTGCTGTGCACCATTTCCTTTGAAATGAAAATTCAATGCAATAATGCTGCTGCTATTTTCTGCATACTGGTGTGTAGGACAGAAGCACTACACACAATTCAGTGTCTTTCTACTGGCAAGAAAATTTGAGGTTTATATACCTGGGAAGAAAAATTGAAAAAAACAAAAAACCAAAACAAAGCTGGAAGGGCCTCCTCCCCCAACAAATTATATTTTTTTAAAACTTTCTTAGTCATTCCAGAGCATGAACAGCTCCTTTCTCTTGTGCCTCTTAAGGGAGCACAAGCTCTGGGGAGGTCAGGAGCTGAGTTGTATCCCCAACTTTTTTTGGGTGTTTGGGAATTACTTTTGAGATTAGCGTTGAGCTGAGCCAGCAGAGCCGACTCTTTTTCAGGTAGAGTTGTACTTTCTTAACAGAACACGTGAAGCTGGTGTGTACAGTCTGCCCTGATGCTGCAAATTCCCTCATTTACTCGCAGGGATAAGTTCAGCACGGGATTCCTCAGCAGTGTAGGCTGGCAGACACAAGCTGAGCACAAGTGCTTATTCCTTTCCTTGAAATAAAGCTCATTTACTCATGGACATCCTGGTCAGAAATCAAGCTGAATTTCCATACATTAGAAGGTGATGGATATGTATGTGAGTCTGGATTGCCAGCAACATCATCTTCCACAGAAAAGCTTTGGATTTTACTACACAACAAAAGTCTAACGTAATACCAGGAATGACAATATGGCTGGCGAGAGTTTGTGTTCAGCTGCTGGAAGGAAGCAAATTTTTAACGAAGAACGAGCTGAGTTTTTAATGTTAAAACATTTATCCAAAGTACACAGAAGTCCTCAGCTGAGAGGTTGGGTTCCTGGGAGCAAGTGGCCAGAAGGGTCATGGTGCCTGAGCTGAGCCCCACTGCCCAGCACAATGGCCAAAGCACACAGACACTCCCAGCTTTTCTCTCGCCACTGACTGCACAGGGGGAAGCTCACTCCTAGGGAGTCCTTTCTGTGCCCCTACCAAACAGGACAGAGCAAACAGAAACACGTAGTGACAAGCATACATGTTTCATTTGCCAATTGTGGGGCCTGGTGGTTTATATTCATCCTTTAGATTCATTGATGTAGCCACATTGATGTGTAACACTGCTGTGGCACCAGAGACAAAGCAAGGCCCAGTGGAAGATCCCTGTAGGATACTGGTGGCTGTCCTTGTGCTGTGCCTGCTGTTGGAGCAGGGGCAGTGTTTGATGAGATCTCTCTGTGCATGTCACAGGTTCGTCCCCCAAGACCTCATGTGGTTAAGAGGCCCAAGAGCAACATTGGTGTGGAGGGCCGGAGGACCTCAGTTCCCAGCCCAGAACAGTAAGTACTGTGCTGCTCTGCTTCTCTCCACTTGATTCAAATGGTGTGTTCACAACTGAGACTCACTGCAGGAGACTTTAAAAATTACTACAGCTCAAAATCAGTTTTTAACTAAGAAAGAAATGGATTCTTTTTTAAAAATTTTTTGCAGTATTTTAGAGGAAGTGTGAAAAAGCAAGTAACCAAAGTTTGCTTATGGAAAAATTGTGGTTTGACAACTTACACTGATATGCCTCTTCAGTGAAAGTTTTCAGGCATTGGAAGTGTGTGAATTTCTTTGTTGTTTTGTTTTGCACTTTTGTTTTGAGAAATTGTCAGTTCCAGCCATGAAGATGCAGTGTTCTTGCCAGGCTGTAGCTGGAGGGTGCAGAACTGTTTATTTGACAGAGGTGGCAGAAGGGGCTGTGTCTCACTCTAGAGTGCATTAACAGGACTGTGATGTCTGTGTGAGCTCTGTGGTGAGGGCTTGTAGGGCTTCCCTTTACACATGACCAGCAAATTTATCCCCTCTTTAGCTGTGGCAGTGAAGGGGAATGTTCCAAATCATCTGTGCTGCCACAGCCCACTGCTCCTGGACAAAAGGAGTTGGTTTCCAGTGTCTCTCTTGTGCATACCAGTACAGGCATGTTCTGTTACCTCAGGGGGACTCTTTCAAGCACTTTCACTAATGTCACTGATCCAGGGATTTTTACAAAGACAGCAAGGGGTGTGTGTTGGAGATTCCTGACAGTGCCTGAGTGGAGATTGCAATGGGCTCCCAGGTGTGACCCTGACCAAGGAATGGATGTTCTGAGCTGTGAATATTCTGAGCAGTGGTTAATTCTGAGCTGTGGATGTTCTGAGCTGTGGTTCATTCTGAGCTGTGGTTCATTCTGAGCTGTGGATGTTCTGAGCTGTGGATGTTCTGAGCTGTGGATGTTCTGAGCTGTGGATGTTCTGAGCTGTGGATACTCTGAGCTGTGGATGTTCTGAGCTGTGAGTGTTCTGAGCTGTGGATACTCTGAGCTGTGGATGTTCTGAGCTGTGAGTGTTCTGAGCTGTGGATGTTCTGAGCTGTGGTTCATTCTGAGCTGTGGATGTTCTGAGCTGTGGTTCATTCTGAGCTGTGGATGTTCTGAGCTGTGGTTCATTCTGAGCTGTGGGTGTTCTGAGTGTGCCAGCAGAGCCCAAACATGCTGGAGAGGCATCAGTGCATGGACAGCTCTTTCCAGCCACGCCAGGGTGGGGGCATACTGTGGCTCTGGCCTAAACTGAACGGTGATTTCTCCCTTGTACAGGAGTGTTTGTCCATTTTACTGTGGAATTTGGTTGCCCTCTTGTGGAGCAGATGCAGCTCTTGCAAAGGGCTGTGCTGGCCCTGCACAGAGGTTGTGGGGATTTTTAAACTAAAAGCGTTTTCTTAATATTTAATCTGATGACTCACTGCATTTAGGTGGAGGATAATTTAAGCAATTTAACATTTATGTGTGTTCCTATGGAGGTTTCTTCATGTTTGCATTCAAAAACTGCTGACATCCCAGTGTTGCTCACTGCTAACATGTATCTTCAATTCCTGCCACTATCAGACCAGAGATAAACACAAACACAACTGGTAAACATTGTACCAATGCTGGAAATACATTGTATTTTAATTATCTTATTGGGATCTAGTTTATTGCTGTTAGTTTTAGTGAATCTTTACAGCTCAGCTGCTTTCTCAAAATACAGAATTTTCATGACGCTTCTGACAAACTTTTTTCTGTCCCCATAAGAAGTAATCTTTGTGTAAGTGTTCTGAAATGGAAACAAGAGAGGTGTTGTCTCTAAAAAACTCACACTGTTTTCTCTCTCTTGGATAACACTAGAGAATCAGTGAAAACACCATAAAATATATTTTCCCTTGTTTTACCTGGTAGCATTGAAGGTTAGGAAATTCATGTCTTTAGTTACATGAGTTAATTGTTTTTACGTGTGTAAAAGAAACCCATTGTTCTGGGGATGTCTGTGTTCATTTTCCAATCAGTGTTCAGTTCTAGCTCAGGGGATGAGGAGCAGTAAGTGCAAAGAGCACCCAAGGCCGTGGCTCATGGCTGGGGTTAAAGCAGTGTTTACAGGAGCTGGGGGAGCAGCCCGTGCTGGCTCAGCTCTCTGGGGCCCTGCAGCAGCCCCGGGGCTCGGCACAGGAGCTCTGGGGATGATCTCAGCAGGGCTGTGAGCATGGGACAGGCTCACGGGCACGGGAGATTCCGGCTGTAACTGGGCTCTCAGGGCCCTACCGCAGCACCTGGGGGTGGTGAAGGCTTTCCATGGCCTCACCGAGCCGGCAGCTCTGACACCGAGTGTGCAGGATGTGCAGGAAGGGATTCCAGGGTGGGTCTGTGCCGTGTTCATGTGGAAGAGTTGCCAGGTACTCCCCTCAGTCCCAAACCTCCTATCTCATAGAGGTGACAAGAAGCCCGTGCATCCAAATCCCACATTCTCTGCATTTTACTGGCTAAGAGGGACAAAGTCTTTAATTCCATAAAGCTCTTGTGTAGCTGCTCTATAAAAAAACTATGTCGATAAAAAAGAATTTTTCCTCAAGTCTGCAGAACCTTTTTTAGGAGAATAATGACAAGTCCACGCACCCCTTTGCCCCATAATCTCAATATTCAGGAAAGAGCAATGCCATAATAAAATATACAAATTTAATTTTCTCATAACCAGAACATCCTTTAAAATTATTACAGAATTCTCCTTACTAATTCCCATATCCTGTGAGACTCCCATTTTCTGTATACATGTTTTTTTATCTCAACTACATTTAGGTGTCAATTAAATTTGAAATATCTACATTTGTCAGCATTTCATTTTTGGCCAGCGTGATGTGACGCTGATTTGTCCGTGCATCCTGACACATGAATAAAGCTCCCGAGATGCAGATCTTCCTCATTAAACGGAGCCCCCGCTCCGCGCTGCTGCCGGCGCCGTGGAGCGTCCCGTCCGCGCAGAG